TGACAGATCTAACACAAGGCCGTCTGATCCCAAACATGGCAGAGTCTACGGTTACCATACTGCCAAAAAACATACTTTAATCATTCTAAATGCACACATGTTATTAATAATTATACCCAGACACAGAACAAACGATCGTGCTCATCACACAATTATTTGTTTTGGGTGGGAATCGAACTCACGACCTCTGACTCAGCATTCAAGATCACTAACCACTAGGCCAACAGCTAACTCAAAGAGCACACACATAATTATTCTAATCTGGCTGATAGTCCCAAAGATTAGCCTGTTCTATAAGAAAAGAGAACAATCTATATTAATCCAGATACCATCAATGAAGATATATCAATGACAAACATGTCGGTACAGTTTTGACACCGCCCGATTTTGAAATGTCATACGCGTAATGTCATTTCCAACTACATAAGGTGTTTATTTGAAACTTTAAATAAATCTTCGACATTAGCTTGTTATATTAAAAAAGAACAATGTTTAATTATTCTTTAGACTTAGTCTTGGGATGGTTCCCAAGACTAAGTCATAACTTGTCAGTATATATAGGGGGTTAGTTTAAACCACTTGTTAGAATGGTATACTTTTGAAGTTTAATACAAATGTTGTCAGAAGTCTTGTGTGTAAAAAGTTCAAAGGTTATTGTTATTAAGTTTAAGTAAAAAGCGAAATAATTTTGGCTTGTAACAAAAATGCGATATAGATTCAAAGAAAGGCCAGGAAATATAGGTTTACTTTACGCTTGCACGAGTTAAAGTGTCGACAAGTTGAATTTTCTACTGTGAAATATCGAAGCGTCCCGCGGTAGGTATTGTTCAAGGTAAGCGAACCGTCACGGAAGGCTGCTTCGACACACGATTATTTTGTCTGAATTCTGCATATGGGTTTTATGAGGCTCTTATTATATATAGACTCTTTTTACACTATAAAAATTTAAATCGATACCGCTTACTAATCTTATTTTGTGTTTACAACACCTACTGCTATTAGAGGCTGTTGTGCAGCAGTTGACTATGAGAGGCTGTTGATGACGATGATTGTTTAGCTTTTTACCTACTTAGCTGTACTTTAAAATAATGTTTTATTATAATAGTAAAAAACATTCGTTTACATTTAATATAAAATGTTCAGTATGTAAGTAGGTACAAGTTTAGATTAAAAGGTTAGCTATATAGATTAGAGAACTGATTTAAATAGATTGAATTTATATTAATATCTTACCACTAATAGCTTACCACTAACCGCCATTTAAACTCTGAGTGTACTTATTTTATTTACAAAATTTGGATAAAATTGCTTAGTAATCTATTCTTTAATGAACCTTTATTATAACTCTCGTTATCAGCCATATTTAAGTGATTAAAAAATTCTATGAAGTCTACGTAATAAAAATAATATAAAAATGTGTTACTAACAAAGTTAATTATTTATTCACCTAATGTTTCTACATTAATCTGACATGTATTAGTTGGTTTAGTTTAAGCCAAGGAACATTCATTTATTAAGTCTTCTCTTACTTTTATAATATAATTATTCCTTGTTTGGACTCAAATTAATAACGTAGCAAGTAGTAATCGTAAACAAACAACTATTTAGAGTACAAAGTAATATTCCATTTCTGAAATAAATCCTTTTATTATGAATTATTATAATCAGGGCAGGTTATAATGTATAGCGAGAGAGAGATGGAGATGGCGGAGCGGGACCGGGAGAGGTTTAGAACTCTCCCGGGCCGCCAGACTCGGGAACGGACCAGGTACGCGCAGACCTAGGGGTGAGGCCATCTGTCATCTTAGCAGAAGCAGGCCAGGGTGGCGGCGAGACTCCTTTCGGGAGCACAAAGGGAACATGGGGGTTCCCACACAGGAGGGGGTCATCTACCCGCCGTAGATGGCCCGAGGTACGTCGGGGTACCAGGGATTTCCTTTCCAGGGTACACCTGGTTCCCTGGCTACTGGTACCCGAGCCGGTGGAAACCGACTTTTGAATTACTTCTTTGCTTCTGAGATAGGAATCCACGCGTTTCTTAGATAGAGATTTTACAGACTGTCATGGCAGACACATTAACAAAGGAGTGATCCTGTGCTGGTACTCTTTCCTTATGAGGAACGGAACCCTAAAAAAAATTGATTAAAAAATTACTGCGTAACAATTATGTGTTATCTGCAAGTTGCTACTAGTCCATAAATTAAAAAATAATACCAATAATTAGTTTTTAATTCTCCATGCCCGTCTTTGAGACTTATCACAGTCAAGTTCGAAGCAATTTATCACCGAGACTGACGTTTGTTTATTTATTAGGAATATCTGTTCCCATTTTCTATTATTGGCAATTATTTACTTATTAGGTTTATGTGCTACGAGTTTACTTAAAAAAAAAAACAAAGTTTAATATATTATAGTTAGTATAAAAAAACTAAAAAACAATAACTTTCTATAATTTCAAAAGAAAAATCATTTTATCGTATAAATGCGTGGAGTGCTATATCTCAATTGTTGTAAAATATATTATTAGCAGGTATTGGTATAAGTAAAGTTATTATATTATAAAATATCTTGAAAAGTATTATTTTCTACTCCTTAGTTCGCCTACTTACAAAAGCGTTTCTTAAACTATCATTTATTTTTGCTTTTTTAGTCATTAATGATGATCATTTTCTCATTAAGACTAAAAAGTTAACAAGTAAGTAAGTCACATATGCTTCAGCACACGTCTCTTAGTACGTATCAAAAAACACTACCGTATTTTTACGTATAAGAAAAGCCGTTAATCCTAAAGATCCTTCTCGGGATTATCGTCCAAATTTATCAAATTATTGTATTGTCATCGGTCACTGATTAGTGTGCGAAGTTTCAATTTAATTTGACGTTTTGAAGTGGGTCAAAATCACGTTCGAAGATTCCGTTACTTACTTACATACATACCAAGCTAATAAAAGCGTGTTAAAAACAATATAGACAAACATTTGTTACTAATCTGACAAAATTATTTTACCTTTGATGTTATTATATTAGAATTATTAACACAAAAACAATTTATAAGTAAAACACAATACTTGATCAGATTTTAAACGAAAACTTAATTTAGTCTCTCATCATCTCTTATCAATAAAAAGTAGATAGTAAGTATCTCTAATCTATCATTATCGATCTATGCGAATAGTTAGCACATCTCTAAACGAAAACCGTCAATTTAAAATCATCATCTATACAAATCTATAGAAATAAATTAAATTGAAGTGTCTATTTGTAATGCCAAAAAAATGGGTTTTTTCATGCTCACACGGTTATTTGCACGATAGCTATGCCTAAAAACCAGTTTAATTTTTTTATCTGTTTGTCCCGGGTAATCTCCAAAATGGTTGATTTTGATAATATTTTACTACCAGGTAGCTGTCTATATAAGGAGTACCTTAGACCATTTTTCCGCTCCGAAAAACCCTATTACGTTTTGCCCGGTCTGGGAATCGAACCCGAGGCCTCATGGATTGCAGTCGCGTACCGTACTACACCACTAAGGTGTAAACTTTGGTTACATCTAATATTTGCGTTACATAACTTATTCAACTTTGTTGATTCATAGACGGTCACTATTGGTACTGGCATTTATCTAGTATGGAGGCAAAACTAGTGGAGTTGTTTTCACTTACAATATATTGTTTATTATATAGCTTAATTAGCTACAGAGGTGAACTTACTTTTAACAAGAATGAAAAGATAAAAAATATAGTTAATCTACTTCTGAAAAATAACATCGCACATAAATCATTCTTAATATTGAAATTACTCCGAATTTAGAATAACTAAGAAATAACTTACATAGTTATAGGCCCCTGCAATGTTAAACTTTGTCGCAGCATTGTCAAATACAAACCTGTCAATTTAAAATTGTATCAAGACAGATGGTATTTGGTAAAATGGCAACATTATTTTTGTAATTACTTAGCATATAGAATATTCCACTATATACAATTAAAGTATTATTTCTAGTAAGATACTAGTCCAAAATGAGTCATAAATCGCACACCGCAATCCGCCTTCGGCTGCAGTCTGTAATTCGTCGCACCTATTTAGGTTAAAATTTAATCTCTATACTAGTCGAAAAACTGTCTATTTTATTCATTATTCAATGTCTCAAATAAATGTAATTGACATGACACGTAAATCAATAAAGAACACAGTTTACAACTTATTTAGTTATTATTGGTACATACCCTGTTTTAATTTCCTTAAGACAGAGGACGATAAACAGTAAATTGTCTTTATTTAACTTGTTGTCACAAAGCAATAATTTATTTTGTCCTATCCATAAACAATATAATAGCATCAACTTTTGTGTAACAAAGGCTTAGAAAATATCCTATGTCCTTTAGGTTCATTAATTTAATTATACTCAAAGCATTTGGAACCGTCTGCGCCCTCTTAGTATAAGTACAAATGCAAACAAAAGATATATTTGAAACAAAATTATGAACGAAGATTTATGTAAAGGGCACGAGTTATCTCGATGATATTATTAAGTACGTATTTACTTACTCTCTTCGTTATCAATAAAATGCACATTCAAGAAATACTCAGCTATCGTTCTTCAAGCTTTCCTTATCTGGATTTCCTGTTTCGAATGTAACTTGAATTACAACTTTTTATACATAACAAATATATTTATAACTGAATAAGACTCTAACAATGTGATTAATGTACAATGTCAACAATATTACTAACAGAAAAATCAAACAAACTACTTTAAGATACCAAACGCAGGGGTATTTTCTTTGTGTTTTTTATCAGAATAGTCATCAGATATTATCTTTCTTTTGTTACAGAAATCGCTTCGATATCTTGTGCATACAAGAATATTAAAAGTACAGAACAAACAAGCGCACCGCCCACGTTGCGAGATAACATAGCATCCCGTCCAGAGAGAAATTAATCTGGCACACGGTAACAGGAAACATGCCGATAAAGTGCTCGATGTTGTAGCAGTTTTGATGAGGAAACCGCTACACGTTGCAGACGCTCGAATATGCTTAGCTGACACCTGCGAACAAGCAACATTTACCACTATGTACAGCAATCCACGACAAACGTTCGTGGACATACCTAACCCCTGCAATAAAAGTGCCAGACATATTTCGCCAACAGCCAATATTTATCATACGATTCCTACGTCGCGAGACAAACAATTATCTTGTCTTATAGCAAATAACTATACAATGACGAACAATAATCATTCCATTGATAATTTAGAACAAGTTCACGAATTGACTGACTTAGATAGATGTAGGATAGATAAAGAAAAAAATGAATGCCAGTATGACCCGGAAAGACGATGCTCTGTTCCAGGAGCTTTCGAACGATGCGTAATGCATAACAAAGAGCATGTATACGAAAAGGAATCGATTAGAAAGAGGGTTGATGTTGACGAATACAGTGGTAGAAGGCACGCCGCCAATTTGAAATTTAAATATACTCAAGATTGGGTGGTACTGTGGATGGAAGCGATCGGGAGGATAATGGACGTCCTCGTGCGTTCGTTAGCCTTTATGATACTGATTTTGTATGTCATGTTAGCAACTTGTGCCGCGGCGCCGACGAATTTTCGACCCACGCGCAGCGCTCATCATGAGAAATCTGCGGTAAGTGTTTTTTTATTTACGCTATCTCTTTTGAATAAGTAAACAAAACAGTTTTATTCAAATATTATTACAAAAGTTAAAATAACCAAAACGAAAAAACGTATATTTAGTTCCAAAATAGTTCATTTGTATTTATTTTATGTTTAATTTTTCCTTCGTGTTCAAAAATACTTAAAACGTTTGAACACCTGCCGGTTTTGAAAATAAAAATCGGTTTCTATGCTATTGAAAAGCTTTTCAGAAAATACACTTTTATATTATTGACTGATAGTTAGCCACCATACATATAAACAACTTTAAAAAAAATATACCAAACTAGGCGTGGTTTTTAAAGTTCTTAGATAAATGTCAGTTAAGTATTGGTTCATATATATGGAGACTATGTAATATACACAATAAACATCATTGTCTATCATTGCAGTTCTGTAACGAAATAGATGATTCTACTACTGATGAACCTGAAAATTTATTTATATTATAATGAAAAAGAATTAACATTGAGTCCAAATGTTAATATGTTGTCTTTGTCTATTAGCGTGAACAGTTATTTAGGTTTGCTTGAAATTAAATTTAAATGTCAAATAAAGTTATGAAGCCGATAAACGGCGCACATAATTTGTTAACATTAGTTTAAACGGAGTTCGATATTTGCTGCGGTGTTCGAAAACTTACATTTACAAGTTATCGGACCAATAACACTGACATATAGCTCCAGATAAAAGTATTTAAACTAAATTTTGCACACTAAATTAAGGTCTGCTAAAGTAAGACATAAGATAAGATGAAAATCTATCCAATACCTGACGCCAAATAATCTTAATATACAAAATCCGTTTCTCGATTAATAGTACATAGAGAATAGATGCTTAGGTACATGCTCATGCATACTAAAGAGCTTAAGATACGTGTATCCTGACGACTTGTATTTTGAATCGTCCCCAGCCGGAAACGTGCTCCTTATTGTACTAGCATTGTCTGTGTTATCTGAATCTGTCTGATTTGCCAGACAATGTCTTACTTTACATAGCCATTTTTTAAATCGCTGGGAATTGTTTATGTGAGATATGTTACATTAAAAAAGAACACAGTGACGTTTTTTTGTAAACTAGGGACCGTTTTTAAATGTATTTTGAAAAAAAAATGTCCAGTAAATTACCATGGCGGACCGCAAAACGAAGTACATTGAGATTTTGAAAGAAACTCTTTCTCAATCAGATGTAGTTCTGGTGTGTAGTGTCCCTACTAATATAGTAAAAAATATACTAAATGAAATGTAGGTTTCCGAATTCGTTATTCGATACTGTTTTTATAATGAAATGAAAAGATTTTTCAGTTGTTTTAAAAAATCTGAACTTAAAGGGATTGAACAGAATTGTGAAATTCGTTGTTCTAAGAATGAGAAATGTGTGACATTTGCATTCATTTAATCTTGTCAGAAGAGCATGGAACACATACAAATACATTTTGCCAGGTGTACTGGTGCGTGTAAAGTGAGGTTTTGTGCTCCGTGATGGGACCCAATCTCCATAGTTTGAAGTGATATGTGCAAACAATTTGATTGGATTATAGGCTTTATAAAGTATAATTCGTATTTTTGAGGCTTCACTGTTATTGGTACGCTTTGTCTTTAATTGCTCATGGCTCTGACACTTGTTTTTAAACGCGATCTAATTTGTTCTTTAAAATATGTGGCTTCAATAACTGGTCAATTATTTGTTAGAATATTATGTTCCGTTCTCTACATTTTTTTATACGCTGTGCCTAAACTGGATATTGATTTGTCACAAGTTACAGATATTATTATTTACTTTAATAAAATGAATGTACGAACGAGAATTTGTTTGCTGTTATGACTTTACACATATTAAAGGAACATACCAAGAACTCCGCTATCGTTTAGTATAATGTAGAATATTCAGGTACCGAAACGCTTATTATTCGCGTGTCCGTTACGGCATTCGATTATTTGATTACAGACGTGATGTTATGTAAGTCTACAGGTATGGAACATCTTCGTCCCTCAGGTTCAACTTAAACTTATTAACGCAAAGGGCATTAATATAAATAGATTATGGAAAAGATATTATATTATGAAATTACTGTGAAACATGGCGGTTTTGCATATATTCCGTATTAAGTTTTAATAACTTTTTGAAGAATAATAGAATGGTAACTAGGTCAAATCTGTTCATTTCATGTTGGGTATACGCGAAGTGCCTATGTATCTACAGTTGTAATGTTAGTTATATCTATTATTATGTTTTCAAATAACAGTTACACAAAGTTAACATCCGATAAGGTAGAGAGGAAGATGGTTTTATAACTGTTATAAATTAAAGTTAGGAAAATCAGAGCTGACATTAATAATTTATTAGCAAAACAATGTTGTCTTGTGCTAACGTGTACGTTTACTTGTTATCTTGTATTTTGTTGTAGATAATTGTATTTAATGAGTTTTAGAAACCTACATGTGTCTAAATGCACAAGAAGCTATAGTAAACTTGACCTTAAAAATAAACAGCCTGAAACAAACAATAATAATTCTAATCTTTAAAAATTAATATTCAAACCTATTTTTCTTCAAAGGTGGTGTTCTTTTATAATGTATTATGTTTAAATGTGAAATAATTATCCGATTTCTTATGTATCGGATAGAAAACTTTTTTACAGAGGCTATTTTACACTGACGAATTAACAACCATTTCAAGGCTTATTCCTACCGAGTGCAAGTAATATGGGGACAAAAAGCTGGCGTGTCGTATTAGATTACTGGCAGTGACAGACGAACAGACCGTTTGGGAAGAGATTAATGGGCTAAGTGACGAGTGGGAGGCATGCCCCTGTGTCCACGTCTTCGGAAGACTCTCATTTATTACGTGGACTGTTACAAATAGTGAGAAATTCGGCTAATTTTATTGGGGCTGACAGAAAGCGAACATTACGCGGTATGTAACAAGACTTTGATATTCAATCGGATGTTATATTACTTATATTAATGGACTGCCTCATTTATGACTTGGCATTTGCATTCGCATGTTTTGCGTATGAGCGCAAAGTTTCAAATGTGATTCCAGGGCATTTTGTATTCCGTTAGGAATACTTAAAACCTAAATTAAGTCTGAAAATATCTCTAATGGAATCACAACGTAGGATCTATGAAGCTATATTTTTAGCATGGCGGTAATTATTTTGTAAATTTTATACCTGTCTCCTTTTTCAGGAGAAAAATATAGTTTGATATGAGAATATAAGATATGTTCCACCATCCACATTGACGTTGACTATACTAGCATTAAATAAACTATAGGTACCAACACAAAGAAACTGGTTGGTTAAAGTTTTTGTGATAGTTGTAAAATTAGATTCGGTTTGTATGAAGGCGGCTAGACTTACAAAATCATAGTCCGACTCTAAAGTAAAGTATTTTAAAGTTGCTATTACAACTACAAGATATGGTTCCAGACCAATTTTAAACTCTTTTTAACCTTTTTACCCTCTACACTTACGTAGTGTAATTTCCACTGTACTTTTAAAGATTGGCCAAATTTTAATTAGTCTTCCTTGTTATAAATGTGCGGTCGGCAGCAAATTAGAGTACTCGTTGATTAACCTTTAACTTTCATTTACATTCAAGTACAAATAATATTATTTAGAATTTAATATATCATATAATAAATAAAGTGTTTAAAGTGCCGTTTTGCGTAGCACAAGCACAACATTAACAGTAATATTAACTTCATCCTCATACCGCTTTTTTTTTACGCGTGGAAGCCCCCTCGGGCCGTCACCCCACCGGGGTTTGCGGCGGGATGGTGTGTCGGAATCGGAGCAAATAAAACCACACGGTGTGCCACTCTGCGCTTGATCAAAATAAGTACGAACGTTTGGAAGTTTGATCCCATAGACAGACATGTACAAACAAGGATTTAAATATAAGTGTAACTCAGCCACAGTTATCGACAAGTTATATGCACAAGTTGTCTTCTCATGCTGAACTTCTGCAAATATCAGCAGTTGGTACGAAACCCAAAATTAAAACTAAAAACAGACTACAATGAGGTCAAGAGGAAAAAAATGAATGCAATCAGATTTGAACCCAGTTTAATTGGTTAAAACACGGCGTGACCGCGGTGTTTAACAGTTTCCTGCGCGTACGCATGTAGGTCTGTTTGTTTAAAACTTTAGTTATGTAAGTGGTAACTGGTTCGTTGCGATACTGCACCGAACCTTTGTGAGCTTTGAGTTTCTCAAAATTTCGAAATCCCCTCTAAATGACGACAAGATAGTGCTGTACACAAAAGTTTTATTGCAAAGACCAGAAAATATATAAAGTAACTGTTTGATACAGATTAATAATATATTTTTAGTGTTATTCTGAGGTTAAAAATATAGTACACCAATACTATTCCACCTTAAGGTTAGTAAGTCGTAAAAGGTTCTTATTCCATCCTTAATTATTTGTTCGTTTATTTACTTCTAATTGAAGTCCTTTGTCTATCTCTTATGACACTTTTCAACTAAGTCCAAGACGAAAGTAAATGAATGAATAGGTCCAGTTCATAGTTATTACCTTCCTTCAATCAAGAACCTTTTGATGCCATAAACCAAGCAAATGGTTTATCTCTAACTTCACCAATAAAAGTAAATTCACAACCAGTGACTTAAATCTACTATTCATACATACATCGAGTTAATTGAATTTGTCTACAAGAAACTACTACGCAATGGCTTAAAGCATTTATCTACAACATGTTACAATCCTATAACCTGTTAACGGGTTATGAAATTTCCGCTAATTTCACTGTTATTGTACTCGTAAAATCACTATGTAAATAACTAGTTGATAGCGTTGACATTTCGCGCTAATAAAGTAGGTACAAAGAATGTATGACTATCTCCAGTTATATATTTTTCTTAGAAATTACTTAAACACGTATTGGTTACAACCTAATATTAAATAAGGACATTATTTAAATTAAATATAGACCATCATATGTTTTTTATTCAGTGCGTTATTTTCACCCTAAGATCAGAATTTGAGACTTTTTTTCATACTATTAAATTAACTAATCTTAAAACAAAGATCAAATTCAAGTCTGTCTATGTCTGTCTATGAATCTCTTCTATAATAATTGATTATATTTATATTATTACTATCTCAACATAAAAATCTCATAAACCTAATGTATGTATATTACACAACCACGTCTAAATTATTTCGTGTTAAAAGAAATATTGTGGCGTTCTAACAAATTTTTATTCTCACTTTTAATCAAAATCAGCAGACAATGAATTTATTGCATAGATGTCTAATGTGTTGTTCAAATAAATGCGAGTATTTCATTTAGGTATGTATTATTTGTTGCAGAATCTTTAGAACTTGCTGACATAGTTATAAACAATATAGTATTAGACACGAAAATTAATAGTGGGTCGAAGAGTTGCAGTGCTTTTTATTTCCTAAATTCCCCTTTCAGCTAT